GGAGCGTGTAACACTATGTCCATCGCTGATGAGAAAAGGAATGGCGCGTCTCCTGTCAAGGGATCAATGGACCGCACTGAATGACCTTCGCAGTGCCTACGACTCTTCCTTCCTTATTAGTGAATCTGATCACACCCCGGAAAACAGTTGTACTCTGACCCTCAGCAGTCTGGTTAACACGTCCGGCTTCCTTGTCCGGAAATTCATTAATTTTGCCAAGAAATTAGCTGATTTCAACGTTCTTGGACAGGTAAGTTAGTGGTAACTTTACCTTTTTGCTGTTCTGGTGGCTTCTTCGGGTTCACCGCTTTACGTTTCTGTCTATTTTTCATAGGAGGGTCAGGTCTGCCTACTGAAGGGTGTGGTCCTAAACGCCCTCTTTATTCGATCTGCTAGTCACTATGACGTTGTACGAGACTGTTGGGTGACGCCAAAGGGTGACATTCCTACGCGTATTCTCAAGGTTGCCACCGGTCTGGAGAACCTGTACGAGGAACATGCCAAGTACTGCAGGTTGGTAATCCCATCGAATATTGATAATAATTACTACTTTCTAATTCAAAGTAGGGTTGATTTATTCAATATATATTTTCGTGTCGCCATGCCTCCGAAGGAATCCCCATAACCTCGGTAGTAATAATGTTGTGTTAACAACTAATCCACTCTCAACCTGCATTGGGCAAAGCTGACTTGTAGGGCCCCTCTAGATATCTGTGCCTCCCGCCCAACTGCTTAACGTATTTTGTGATTGGCTAGTGAGGTTAACTTGATATGTAATTGTGGCGGAAGTGATCATAAAATATTAAATTAAGTAAGTTTATATTTGTTTGAATATGCCAAAATAGAATACAATACGATCAACATGAACTTCTATTGCGCAGGTTACGAATGCCAGTTAAGGGAAATTCGACCTTATGTAGGCGGAATTTAACGGAAATGGAAATTCGTCCTCCTAATGTGAAATTTGGCGAAAAATTCAAAGTTGGGCTACTGAACGTTCGAAGGTAGTTGTTTTATTATAAGTCGACGGGATTTTTGGGGCTTCTAAAATCAGTCCTGTCTTGTAGTGCATCCACTTAGCACGGTATGCATCCCAGCCCACCTCCAAGAATTAAATTTCCACTATGGCACTGAGACATTGCAATCATTTTTCTAGGAACTTCAGCAACGTGGTCGAAAATGATTCGCATTTGGTTGCTCTAATGCAAGTTCTCTGCTTGTTCGCACCTGATCGTCGAAGTCTCGTTGATCGCCAATCAGTGAGTTTATGATTTTAATTTTCGTGCAGCTCTACTCTTAGTACTGCCATGCGATATTGAAAGAGGCAAATACGTATTAATGTCCTTCAAGTCATGCGACTAGGAGAGTGCAGTCTGAACTTAAAATAAACAAATAAACCGCAATTACAAACCAGCAATGCGTTGATATGGTCTCTGCGTGTGCAATTAGTAAACTGCGGAAGCGACAGTTATTAATAACAATAGTGACGAAAGCTCAGGCAAACAATAACTTGGGGACTAGCGAATGGCGCCAATTTTGATCGTCATTGCAGATTGATTCTGAGACCATTCGTTTCCAGAAGTAATTATATTCTACAACTGTTAGAAATCCCGTGTTTTACATGGTCTCAGCATGTGGCGCCACTCGCGTGGACGCAGCTAATTAGATCCACTTTTTTGCTCTCATTATTAGGCCATGAAACATTTTTTTCGATGTAATTATCGTTACTGCTAACACAAGCCAGCCGCTAAATAGGCGCCCATTTAGTCCTTATTGGTCGGATCTTCGGTACTCGCCAGCCCTCAGTGGATTACATTTGAAGTGCTAAGGCAAATATTGGCAGCAGTTTAGTCTGGGAGTCACCTCATGGTGAGACCGGTGTCTAGTAAACAATATATTTTTGTGGCGACAGCCTGCCACTTCCTTGTCTTCTTTGCGTCCCTCCATGCCTTGTTGCGGACTCCTTCATGTGATGAGGCGTCCTGGACTACTCGATACTTAAG